AGTGGAAAATGGAGTAGACTCTAATGATTTTCCCTTTCCAACAGTAAAATCTTACTACAGTAATACTTTTATATAAATGTGTACTATAGATAACTACATACCCTATTAGTACATGCTCCATCTAGCTTTTTCATAATTATAATACATTTTCATGGTGTAAAATTTTTTCTAACAGTATGAAAGTATGTAAAGTCAAAATCTTCCCACTCTCTTGCCCATTTTCACTTACCAGAAGTAATGCTATGAAAAGAAATTTGGTCAAGTTACCTTTCATAAATTGAGACCAGATAATATTCTCTTGCCCCCGTTTTTTAAATTTCTTTTTAATTTATTGGTGTGCCATTGGTTAACAAAATTATATTGGTTTCAGGTATACAATTTTATAATTGCTATCCTTGATTACTATTCAAAATGTCTAGTTCTCTATTTTCTGCCTTATTCTTACCCCTCAAAGTTATGGACCTCCTACTTCCTTGACCTGGCCTGCCTCCCCTTTCTTTTCACAAGTGCCCTATTGTTTTGGCCCTTCTTGCTCCATTCTGCCTTTGTGGCTGAACTGAAAGCCAACTTTGCCTCAACACAGAATCTCCACTTTAGTGGGGCTCATCTCGTCAAGTTTAAACCTTCCTTAACCGCGCCCCCCCCCCACCCATAGGGTTCTCTTCAAATCCCATTCTCTATATGGGCCCACCCTGATCCAATTAATGTAAATGAACACCTAAAAACAAACTCTTCAATTCCTCCCACTCAAATATTTCTCCTGTTTTCTCAAGATTTGGAGAATTGTAAAGATACCATAGATTAGATGTTTACTATGTAAGATACCATATTCTATGAAATACACATGTTACTGTCTCAATGTAATTATCTGAATACAGTGCCCTAATATTTAATCCTAGTTGGTTTACCAGGATTATCATTTCTACCTTGAAATATTTTTAAAATATGTTTTTATTGATTTTAGAAAAAGAAGAAAGGAGGGGGAGAGAGAAACATCAATGATGAGAGATTATCATCGATCAGCTGCCTCCTGCATGCCCCACATTGGGGAACAAGCCCGCAACCTGGGCATATGCCCTGGCAGGGAATCGAACCAAACCGTGACCTCCTAGTTCATAGATCAACGCTCAAGCACTGAGCCATGCTGGCTGGGCTTGAAGTATTTCTTTTTCAATGTTCCCTTCTCTTCATCTCGATTACTACTATCTTAGTGCCTGTTATATCTCTCCAGCATGACTTCAATACCTTAGCTGACCACTCCAGCCTCCAGTTCTGGTTCTGGAAAGTCTATTTTTATCATCTGATCTTTCCAAACTAAATCCAGGCAAGTCACACCAAGATTAAAATCCTTATGTGTCCCTGTAGCCTTCAGAAAATTAGAACTCCCATAATTTAACAAACAGCACCTTACAAATTGTACCTCTTCCGCATCATCTGTCACCGCTTCTCCCCCTCCCTCTCCCAAAGGGAATAAGAAAGAATTGAGACTGTTTTAGAGTTTCTGGTCATATAGCTCACTTACTGGTGATCATTGGTAAGCCACTTATCATTTCTAAGTCTCCCTCCACTTCCAGACCTGTAAGAGGGAGCTAGCAATGGTACTGAACCTTAGCATAAGCATCCCTAGCACATAAGTGCTAAATAGATAGTGGCTAAAATGTTTATTATTACCATTACTTTAAAGCAGTGATTCCCAAAGTGGGCGCTACCGCCCCCTGGTGGGCGCTGCAGCGATGGGGGGGGGCGTGATGGCCACAGGTGCATTTGTTTTAACTTTTTTTGTATTACCTTTCTATTCTGAGTTCAATAAATAGTTTCATAATTTCAAACTTCAATGTTTCTAATTTACACCTTTCTCTACTATATTTTACGAAAAAGGTAGAAACATTAATACATATATCTTTCTGTTTAATTGCTATTAAAATTTTAAAAAAATTAATTTCCAAGGGGCGCTGAGGAATATTTTTTCTGGAAAGGGGGCAGTAGGCCAAATAAGTTTGGGAACCACTGCTTTAAAGTCAATCACTTCTTCACCTCTTGCTGCACTTCTGTCTTCAAGGTCCTTTTCTTCTTTCCTTCATTGTCAATTCATCCTTCAAGAAATCCCTACCAATTGTTTCTGATGCCCACTTTTTCTCTCAGCACCACAAGTACTTCTGTGGGAGTACTTGACTCACTGAATTAGTAGTAATGTGTTAATAACTGACTGCATTCTTCCCCTCTGCTCTTAATGTGCTGTAAATTTCCTGAAGGCAGAAGGCAGAGTGTGGTGTTCTGACTTTGTTAAATTAACATTTGTTAAGTGGAGCACTCAGAGTACAGAATGGTAAGCCTGAATTCAACAGCTGACTAGAGATAAATTGCAGTCAAGTATTACTCATGGCATGCCTGGAGGGGCCAAATGGGGAGGTCAAGGCAGAATGGAGACAGCCAGCAAAAGGGAGAGCTAAAGATAAGGGACCTGGGGCACATGCCCGTATTAGAGTTTGTGGATAG